TCGGAAATCTCAGAAGGGAAAGGGGCAGTTCTCTAAGACACAATGGGGAAAATTGATGACCCATTCCTGTCTGGAGTGAAGATTACAGGTGAGGCAAACAATAGCTCAAAGTCTGGCAGGAAGAGCTGGAAGGGATTTTTGTGGCAAACTGGAAAACTCCCACAAATATCAAGCAATTTAGAAAATCATGTGCATGTACAGTGATGTGCCTGTTCCAAATCAGCCTGAGAAGAAGGCCCCATGCTTTTACCCCAGCAGGTTGTTAGAGTTGGGAGTGAGAGCCAAGGCAGAGCTGTAAGCAGCTTGGTCACTGCTGAATACAAACTTCAACACATAGTGAGAAGCCAAAATTTAAAATGGATTTTGAGCCAGACATGGTGTGCATGCCTGTAATCCCATCTTTGGAGAACACAAGGCAAGAGAATCAATTTGAAGACAGCCTTGGGCTCCATACTAAGACAAATCAGGCCAGGCTTGGTGTCACAAACCTTTAATGCTAGCCCTCAAGAGGCAGAGGCAGGGGGACTCTCTATGGGTTGGAAGCCAGCCTGGGCTACATGGTGAGTTCCAGGATTGCCCTAACTACATAAAGAGCCCCTGTCTCAAAAGAAACAAACCACAAAAATAAAACCCTATCTCAAAAACACAAACAGTAAAATAATAATAGAGTAGCCAGATGTGCTGGTGCAAACCTATGATCCCAGCATTCTAGAGGTGATGGCAGGAGGTTCACAAGTTCAAGCCCATCCTGGACTACAATAGAGAGATACTCTTTAAAATGATAATAGTACAATAAGGAAGGGGTTACCCAGAGTAGAACTGTACCAGTGCCCATTCCACCACATTCTCATTTCATTTCCCTTCAATGTAGCCCCCTTCTCAACCCACAAAACCTATCAAAGGTTTCCTTTATAAGCAATATTTATTTTGAAGCTCTATTTTAATAGTATTTGTTTTGCTAAGTTTATTTTTCTGAGAGTCTGTTTGTGAAGAAAAAAAATGTTAAAAACAGGCCTGGCAGCCGGCGAACGCCTTTAATCCCAGCACTTGGGAGGCAGAGGCAGGCAGATCTCTGTGAGTTCGAGGCCAGCCTGGTCTCCAGAGCGAGTGCCAGGATAGGCTCCAAAGCTACACAGAGAAACCCTGTCTCGAAAAACAAAACAAAACAAAACAAAAACCCTAACAGTGCACCAAGTCTGATTTCTGAGCCCCATGTCTACAAAGCCTGTACTGAAAGTTCTGAATGTTTCCCCCTGAAGCCTGTCTTCAGTGAATAGGTCAGTATGTACCTATATGTGCAGGGCCCCCAGCCCCAGTGCCCAGCACTGCCTTGGCAGGGCAGAGAGCTAGCACCCCGAGTACTACTGTACCAATCTGTGAAATACAGGTCTCCAGAATGTTTGGGACCTACAGTCTGTGGACCCCCACCCTCCCTCCCCGCATCCCAGCCAATGCTGTCACTTAGTACTCTCCCCAGTCTGCTCCAGTGCTCCTTACTCACAGTCCTCTGCCGCAAGGATGTGTCTTGGCTTGGTTAAAAAAAGCCAAGTATTTATTCTGCTAAAGATTGCATGGTCCCCTTCATCCACAAACACTAAGTGCCTCAGTGTACAGTGGCTGGTGTTGGACAAGCCTTCTGCTTCAATGTGTGTAGATAAGATGTTTCCATCCTGGGGGGAAGTGAGGGAAACACCAGCGTGGAAAGGTCAGTAATTGAAATAATCTAACACTACACCCCCTGCAGACACCATCGGGCGGGCGAGGTGCTGCTGGTAAACATCAGGGTACCAGTCTTTGATGGCAACCACCCCCTCTCTGTACTTCTTAGGAGAAAGAAAAGTGGAGGCTCGACCGATTCCACGGACCGTTCTCAAGGATGGACTACGAACCCACTGGAAACCGGGTCCGCGGGCACACGGAGTGGAGAACACCGAATCGGACCCCAGGTTCCTTCACGTTCAGGACAGGCAGGATATGGAAAATTAAGAAGCCTTCTCCCCTGTAAAACAGAACCGACGAGGATGGGATTCGAACCCACGCGTGCAAAGCACAATGGATTAGCAGTCCATCGCCTTAACCACTCGGCCACCTCGTCCCACACACAGAGATTGTTTCCACATTCCCATATCTCTCATCTCCAGCGCGCCTCCTGCACACTTCCATCCACGTTCTTAGTACCCACCTGAAAAAGTTCTTTGGAAGAAGAAACAATAAGAGTGTTTTAAATTTCCTCTTGGAGGGCTTCAGCCAGGAACCGCGCCATCATTGACTGAGCCTCAGCTGAGCTCTGCGCGGCTTCCTCTCCCCGCGGCCCAGCGAGCGCACTGGGGTTTCAGGACGCGCTTGGCCCGGGGGGTCTGCGTCCGGTCCCGAGGGAGAGATGCACGTCCAGGGGTCCGCGGCCGCACGACGCGAGCACGACTAGGTTCGGCGTTTGCAAAGCGCGCGCCGAACAGCCGCCGCTGCAGTAGCTCCTCCTCTCTCACAGAGGGCGAGCTGGCACGCACCTAGATGGAGGCGAGCGGACGCGGGGCGGGGATGAGAGCTGGGCTCGGCTGGCCTCGGCTGGCCTCGGCTGCGCTCGGCAGGCTGCGGTAAATCTGGGCTTGCGGTGGCTGGCAGAGGCTACGGCCGGTGGTCCCCGCATCGCGCCGGGATCCCGGAGAGCCATGCAAATGTCCTACGCCATCCGATGCGCCTTCTACCAGCTGCTGCTGGCCGCTCTCATGTTGGTAGCAATGCTGCAGCTGCTCTACCTGTCGCTGCTCTCCGGACTGCACGGGCAGGAGGAGCAGGAACAGTATTTCGAGTTCTTCCCGCCGTCCCCGCGATCCGTGGACCAGGTAAAGTCGCAACTCCGCACCGCTCTGGCCTCCGGAGGCGTTCTGGATGCCAGCGGCGATTATCGCGTCTACAGGGGTCTCCTGAAGACCACCATGGACCCCAACGATGTCATATTAGCTACTCATGCCAGCGTAGACAACCTCCTGCACCTGTCCGGACTTCTGGAGCGCTGGGAGGGCCCACTGTCTGTATCAGTGTTCGCGGCCACCAAAGAGGAGGCACAGATGGCCACAGTGCTGGCCTACGCGCTGAGTAGCCACTGCCCTGAGATGCGTGCCAGGGTCGCCATGCACCTCGTGTGTCCCTCACGTTATGAGGCTGCTGTGCCCGACCCCCGGGAGCCTGGGGAGTTTGCCCTGCTGCGGTCCTGCCAGGAGGTCTTTGACAAGCTAGCCAGGGTCGCCCAGCCCGGGACTAATTATGCACTGGGCACCAACATCTCCTACCCCAATAACCTGTTAAGGAATTTGGCTCGAGAAGAGGCCAACTATGCCCTGGTGATTGATGTGGACATGGTGCCCAGCGAGGGCCTGTGGAGACGCCTGAGGGAAATGTTGGATCAAAGTAACCACTGGGATGGCATGGCCCTGGTGGTGCCTGCGTTTGAAATCCGCCGGGCCCGCCGGATGCCCATGAACAAAAACGAGTTAGTGCAGCTCTATCAGGTGGGCGAAGTCCGCCCCTTCTATTATGGGCTGTGCACACCTTGCCATGCACCCACCAACTACTCCCGCTGGGTCAACCTGCCAGAAGAGAGCTTGCTGAGACCTGCCTACGTGGTGCCCTGGCGGGACCCCTGGGAACCATTTTATGTGGCTGGAGGGAAGGTGCCCACCTTTGATGAGCGCTTCCGGCAGTATGGCTTCAATCGAATCAGCCAGGTGCCTAAAAGGGACGGGGCAGGTGGGACTGGGACTCAGGTGTTTCCGGGATGGAGTGGACATTGACAGAAAGGAGGCCATGAAGCAAGAGGAGAGTGGTTGGACGGATGGTATAGAATTCCCAAGAGGGGGGTGGAGTGAAGCTTTAGGGGTGACTATTTGGGTCCTGGGGATGTCATTAAAGTATTGTTCTCTCTGCCCCCCCTTCTCTCTCCAGGCCTGTGAGCTGCACGTAGCAGGATTTAATTTTGAGGTGCTGAACGAAGGTTTTCTGGTTCATAAGGGCTTCAAAGAAGCATTGAAGTTCCATCCCCAAAAGGAGGCAGAAAACCAACGCAATAAGATCCTTTACCGCCAGTTCAAACAGGAGTTGAAGGCTAAGTACCCCAACTCTCCCCATCGATGCTGAATCCTTTCTTCCCCTGGTCTGAGAATTTCCAGCATCTGGCTCCTCAGGCCTGACTGGGGTAAGACACATCCCTCCACTCTACAGAGGTAGCTGTGGTTTTGGAACACTGGACTTGACTATGGGGTGCTGGGATCAAGTCCTAGCTTTACCACTAACTAGCTGTGTGGCCTTGAACAAATCCTTTTACCTCTCTGAGCCTCCAATACCCCGTCTGTAAAAAGGGAGGTGAAAATACCTACCTCACAGAACTGTTGGCTCAGATGAGGTGCTGTATGTGAAAACATCCTGTAAACTTCGTACAAATGTTAAGTATTATTAATATTATTACAGTGCTATTATTGTTAGTATTATATTGTTATTATTAACAATGTTGGGTGGATAACCGCAGAGCAAGAAGTATGAATGGAATAAATCTGAGAATCCTGAGTACTTAATAAAATGAGCCTTTTGGAAAGAAAGATGAAAACATAGAATGTAGTGCTCAATCTGGGGTAAAACTTAAGCTTCCTGGTTCTCTCACACCTTGGCCCTCCAAGCTCCCTGAAGGAGCGAGGGTCTGTAGGCCCTGGGGGTTAAACTCCCAGCTCTGTGCCCTTCACTAGGTTGGGCTGCGCGTTTGCCTTCAGATGAGTGTGTAAATAAACGAGTGTTCAGACCCTCAGCTGGCTCTGTGACTCTCCTGAGCTCTGAGGGGTTGTGGTGGGAGCATCGTGTTATCTGGTGGACTCAAGGGCACAGACCACAATGCTGGGGCAGGCTGGGAGGCCGGGGAGACGGTGGGCCGGTTGCTATGGGGACCCGCCCGCGGTATCCCGGCATGCCTGAGCACCGGTGGGTCGATTGTAAACTTCGCGGCGGGCGCCCTTTGATGACGCACACGGAAGCGTCGGCCCCTCCTGGAGAAAGAGGGACCTTCGCAGCTCATTCCCAGAGGCCAACGGCGGTGGCGTTTACAGCCTGGGTCCGACAGCTCTCGTAGAGTCTCGGGCGTGAGGCCGGAGGCCCCAGTCCCTACGGTGCGTATGGTCACGCCTGGCGCTGGATTGGGCTTCCCGGGTCGGAGCCAAAGCAGAGACTTAACCGGTTCGGCTCTAGTGCTGGCCTTAGACGAGCCCGCGGTTCCCTGGCCAGCTCGGTGAATCGGAGGGTGGATCGCGGCTGGATGCTCCCGGAGCGCCGCAGTGAGTTTGTTCTCCGCGTCTGTAGGGAGGGGTATCCCTTCCCTGGAGGCTTGCTCCGGAGGTGCTCAGACCTCTGCAAAGAGAAACTGCACGTACACTGCGCCTTACAGCGCGCCTCTTCCACTTCTTACAGCCGTCAGCAGTGGCATATCCCCTGTTTGTTGTACCTGGGTGAAAAAGAGACGGTTGTGACTTCATTTAACGAAGTCAGGATCGGAGTCAGCTGGAGGAAGGAGGTCTTTAAGACTTCGTGCTGCGTCTTAGAAAGTACATATACATAACGGTGAAAAGGAATTGCCCGCGCGGGCACCTGAGCCCTGAGAAGGGGAACAGTCATGCAGTTTTGGGTACCTAGGTTTTCAGAGCAGGAGGAAATGCTACTAAACTTTCCTGCAGGTCCATCACTATAATTAGTTGAATGGGTGGCCACCAATGTAAGTAGTGTTACTGAGAAGAGAAGCAAAAGCCAATTCCTGCACTGCAAAGGTTTTTTTTTTGTTGTTGTTGTTGTTTACTTTGTGTTTAGACATCTCCAGTCATACAGTGAGCGGGTGTTGTGCTGGGTGAATAAGACAGTTGTGCAGCCCCTGTCCTGGTGAGACTCCCACATTCACTGGGTGGATGGACATGAAAATGAGAGAATAGGAGATGGAAATTATGAAAGCTTGGGGGGTGTCTACCCCACTATAGCTGGAGATGTAGGAGTAACAGCAGCGTGAAATAGAAGCCCCCACTGGCAGAGAGAGTATTTGCATCCGGAATGGCTTATTTTCTCAGATGATCAATCTATTTCTGCAGAGGTTCTCCCCTACCTCTTTGGTTGACCTTGGGAGTTCCATCACAAACCCCTTCTCACATTTTCTGCCTGACCAGTCACTACATGAATCCTCAACAACCTGCCATATGTAGATAACCGAGTTCCTGAAACCTGGGTCTAGTGGGAGCTTACATGCCCACATCATTGGTCCCTTTTCCCATTTCTAGATCTTTGCACTTGCCAGAAATGATCCCTCTTTTGTCTGCCAAGTTCTCACCTAGTCTATCTTCCTCTGGAAGCTGTTAGTTCTGCAGCAAGATCTTGTCTAGACACCTTTCCCATAACACCCTAGTTTTGACTCTCTTCACACTTTATAAAGGTCTGTTTCTTTGCCTTCTCTCCCAGGAACTTGTCATTTCCTTGAGGCCAAAGACTGTCTGTCACAACTATACTCTAGCTTCTACCACAGTGACTGTTGGTACCTGGCGTATATTAGGTGCTTAGTAAATATTAGATAAGTAGGGGGTGTGTGAAGGGAAGGCTTAGCAGTGTTTAATGTTTTTGAAAGGCCATCTAAGGTAAGCACTGAAAAATGCTGGTGGCATTTGCTACAAGGAAGTTGCTGTGTAATTCTGCTAGAGTGGCTTCAGTGTGAGTACTGGGTACCCAGTGAAAGAGTAGGAGATAAAAGTCACAACAGCAAGTATAAACAAGGCCTGGAGAACTATAGAAGTTAAGTAAACTGGGCCAGGTTTTGTATGCATTCATTCATTTACCGACTTACTTATTTGGGGTTTTTGACATAGCCTCACCAACTATTGCCAGCCTGAAACTCACTGTATACCAGGCTGGGCATGAATTTTTAGTAATCCTCCTGCCTCTGCCTCCTGAGTGCTACGGTAACAGACCTGTACCACCACACCTGGCTTTATTTTTTTAATTGTATTTGTTTTCCACAGGGCAGAGGATCTAGTCCAGCTGTTTCTGCAAGCAGCAACTCTATCACTGAACATTTGTTTTTGTTTTAAGACAGAGTGTCACTATCTATCCCAGGATGGCCTGGAACTTGCAGACCTCCTGCATCAGCCTGTATCATATCAGGCTCTCTCTTTTTTATTTTTCCCTTTCTAGTACTGGGAATTGAGCCCAAAACCTCGTACATGCTAGCAACCTGCTCATACTTCTCTCCTTTTTTCTGGGTTTTTGTTTTGTTTTGTGGTTTTTGTTTTGTTTTGTTTTGTTTTGTTTTGTTTTTCTCCCAAGACAGGGTTTCTCTGGGTAGTCTTGGCTGTCCTGGAACTCATCTGTAGACCAGGCTGGCCTTGAACTCACAGAGATCTATCTGCCTCTGCCTCCTGAGTACCGGGATTAAAGGTGTGTGGACCACCACCCAGCTCTGTTTTTTCTTAATGGTAGGAAAAACCTGAGCACATCTGAACTTCCACATAGGAAGGTGCTTTCTGTCTAAGTCCTTAAGGAATCCTGGGGGTTTGGGGTAGAGTTAGGGCTCCACATTTACGAGAACCCAAGTTCAATCCCCTGTCTTTTACCAAAACAAAATCCTGAGACTGGGTCATTTATACAGAACAAGCTGAGTTGTGGTGAGGGCCTGTAACCCTGTGATATCAGCAGTTTGGGAAGGTGAGGTGTGAGGGGTTACTAGTGGTTTGAGGCCAGCTTAGGCAACTTAGGGGGACTGATTCTCAAGAAAGGCTGGGTTCATAGCTCAGTAATAAAATACTATCTTTCCCAACACTCATGAGGCAGAGGTAGGCAGATCTCTGTGAGTTCAAGGCCAAGTTTTAGGACAGCCTGGGCTGTTATACAGAGAAACCCTGTCTCCCAAAAAAACAAAAAAACAAACAAAAAAATTAAAAAATAAAAATCTGAATTTAGCTGGTGGTGGTTCTTGCCTTTAGTCTCAGCACACAGGAGGCACAGGCAGGCGGAGTTCAAGGCCAGCTTGGTAATCACAGAGTGAGATCCTGGACAGCTAGGGCTTCACAGAGAAACCCTGTCTCAAGAAAAAACAAACCAAAAAGAATCGGAGTTTAATCCCAAGCATCAGACATTTTTAAAAATGGTGTTGGTGTTCCTAGGGAGATGGCTCAGCAATTAACACTGGCTGGCTTTCCAGTGGACCCAGGTTCCATTCTCAGCCCCCACATTGCAGCTTAGTTACATGTCTGTAATTCCAGTTCTAAGGCATCCTGTGCCTCCTTCAGAGGCGCTGCGCACACATGGTACAAAGACACAGTACAAAACACCCATACATAAAAAACTGTCTGAGTCCTAGGGTCTGGCAAGACCAAGGTTGAGGAACCCATGTCTGGCAGGGGCCTTTTTGCTGGAGCAGCACCTTTCAGAAGGTGGGGAGAAAAGACCCGTATTTTCTCAGGAATCCTCTGCTGAATAGGCATCAGTACACTGAGGGTGACCTAATCACCTTAGAAGCCCCCACCTTGGGCTAGTCAAATGGTCAGCATGTAAAGGCAACTGCCACCAGAGTCCAGTGTTGATGATAGGAGAGAATGGACTCCTACAAGTTGTCTTTTGACCTTCATATATGCTCCATGATGTGTGTGTGTGTGTGTATGTAGTAAACCAATCATAGATAACCTGAAGGTCTCATGTCTAAACACTGTTACATTAAAGATTAAGCTTCCAATATGGGCCAGAAAGCAGGAGCTGAAGATTTGTAGGGAGAAGGAAACACTGGGGGCTGAAGAAGCAGATGATAGGATTTGATCTAGAACACAGGGACAGACTAGAGAATTGTGAGACGGTATTGGGAAGAAAGGCTGAGGACATTGTAGGCAATCACATGGACAAAGAAATGGGGTAGGAGTGTGAGAACTGGCCATTTAGTGAGGTGAAGGAGCTAGACTTATAGTTCAATTCCAGTCCACAAAGGGTCTTGTAGGACCCAATCAGAAGCTTGGGTCCAGTCCCATCAGCAGTGGGAATCCCTGACTCATACCCTTGGCCAACATTCCCAAGCACCCCAGGATTCTGTAAGTCTATAAAGTGTATGTTCAGTGTGGTGACAACAGTCACTGCCCCTTATTTCATTCAAGGCTTATATTTGGTCAAACTCCCTGTTTGCCTGCTCTGATAGTGGACAGTGGTGAGTGATAGCCCATAGTCCCTTTCCCAGAGCCCAGATGCCCATCCAGCCTCCAGGCAAAGAAGCAGAAGAGATGGAGGCAGAAGGCGACTCAGCAGCTGAGGTGAATGGAGAGGCGGATGAGAGCGAGGAGGAACGGAGCGGCAGCCAGACTGAGTCAGAGGAGGAGAGCTCAGGTGAGCCCCTGCAAAAAAGTGTCACAAACATGCACACACAAAAAAGCAACAACTTGCCCCTGCAGCACCAACACTAATTGGCTTTTCTCTCAGAGATGGATGACGAAGATTATGAGCGGCGCCGCAGTGAGTGTGTCAGTGAGATGCTGGACCTGGAAAAGCAGTTCTCAGAGCTGAAAGAGAAGTGAGCTTGGGAGTCTTGGGGTGGGCCTTTGGGCAACCGGGGTGCAGGTGCCCATAATGAAGAGCAGCAAATGGGGCATAATGGGAGCAGGTGTTTGGCAAGCACTTGCCTGAGGACAGGTGATCGCTGGAGAAACCAGTGGTACACAGCTGTTTTTAATTCCAGGTTGTTCAGGGAACGGTTGAGCCAGCTGCGTTTACGACTGGAGGAAGTGGGGGCTGAGAGAGCCCCAGAATATACAGAGCCTCTAGGAGGGCTGCAGCAGAGCCTAAAGATCCGAATCCAGGTGGCAGGTCTGTAGCTGCCCTCTCCTCCCAGAACCATAGCTTTCTGTCACCTGCCCTGCCTCTCCCTATCCTTGTGGGTCTCCTTTTGGGGCACATTAGGGCAGATCTCCTCTCCCCCTTTGCAGGAATTTACAAGGGCTTTTGTCTGGATGTGATCAGGAATAAATATGAGTGTGAACTCCAGGGAGCCAAACAGCACCTAGAGGTGAGCTGGCAAGTGGGCCTCTGGGAGGGAGACTGAGGTCCAGTAGTTCCCCTGGCTGAAAGGCTCTCCCCTCCCAGAGTGAGAAGCTGCTGCTGTATGACACACTCCTTGGGGAGCTGCAGGAGCGGATCCAGAGGCTGGAGGAGGACCGCCAGAGCCTAGACATCAGCTCTGGTGAGGCGAGGGCCCAATCCTGCAGTACCTCCCCACCCCTGGAGCTCAGCTTCCCAGGCTGCATAAGGGGAGTCAAACAGCCCACTTTTTAGGATCCCTGTGAGGACTGAATGAGTCTTCAGGAAAGGGTCTAGCTCAGTATTCCACATATAGTTGGGACTCAAGCAGATTGGCACCCTTGCCTGTCCCCATTCAGAGTGGGGGTTATCCAGCTGACACATGGATGCATATAAAAACCATAGTCCTCTCCATGATGGTGGCATCTGCATTCACATGGGGTCCAGGAATTACCTTCATCCTGTCTACTAAGCAAATGGAAAAACTGGGGCTTAACCACGAAGGGCAGTGTCATCTCATCTTTGCCGGCTTGCACCAAATGCAGTAAGGACCTCAGTGGTCCCAAGAGGTCACCAGCCTCAAGCCCAAGGTTGGGGCCACTGCCCTGGTGGTGATGGGGAAGGGAGGGGAGGCCAGGCTGGTCCATGGTAAAACCACAGGGATAGTGGGAGTTACCTGTGGGTCACTGTCCTGATCCTGACTCTGAGTCTCTGGGCACAGAGTGGTGGGATGACAAACTACACGCCAGAGGCAGCTCAAAGACCTGGGACTCATTGCCACCCAGCAAGAGGAAGAAGGCACCTCTCGTTTCTGGTATCCTTCCACTCAAAGTCCCCTGAAACTGGGCAGGACAAGGCAGGCCCTGGACTCAGGGAAGTTAGAGGGATTGTGTGGGACAGAGTCAAACTAGAATCATTTATGGTCATTTGGTGTCACCTGAAATGTCCAGTTGTCAGGATTTTCTTCTGTGTCCTATGTCCTCTTGAGCTCAGTGGACCCCAAAGAAACAGAAAACTCAGCTCACTGACTCATAGTAATTTCCTGAGAAAGGATCAGCCTTTGGAGCCTTGTGGCTTTCCCTCAATGTCCTGATGTCTGCCCCATGCTCTCAGGCCTTGCTTGACCCTTCTGGAGCTATTGCTTGTCTGGGTATATTTGGTCAAACTCCATGCTCTCAGGCCTTGCTTGACCCTTCTGGAGCTATTGCTTGTCTGGGCAGGGGTGTCATGTCAGATGCTGTGTCCTCTGAGGTCTCTCCTGGTCCATAGCCCCCAGCCCTATACATGTGTTCTCTTCTGTATTGAACAGTGAGACAGGGGACTCACTGTCTTTGACTCTCATGTGCTGCACAGCATAGCACTGAGATCTTCCACATCCACAGTGTCAGCCCTGGGACCACCTCAGGATGGAGGTGGGATGGAGATTTTATTGAACCATTGTGGGTAAAGGTAAATTTCAGATCCATAGCATAGTGTGCTATCAGGAGGGAAGAGGCCACTATTTACATTTAGGTGAGGAAGGGTCCAATGAGCCAGTTCCTGACAGAGCCAGACAAAGCAGCAGGAGCAGGGCCCCTCAGGATAGGATGGGCCTTGGTCAGCTGATCTGGAAAAAAAAAAATATGAGTGTGTGTGAAGGGAATGGGTAAGGTTTTGTGCCCACCACAATCCCCACACTCACCAAGAACTAGGGTCCCTGAGGCAGGAGGTGGAGCTTGGATTAAGCCCAGGGTCTTACTGAGTGTAAAGGCACACACCTTTAATCCCAGCACTCAGGAGGCAGAGGCAGGCAGCTCTCTGTGAGTTCCAGGCCAGCCAGGGCTACATAGAGACTGTGTCTCAAAAAATAAAAAGGCTCTTGTCACCCCCTCCACACTACCGATGTACCACCTCTCCTAAGCAGGAGACAGGTGGCACTGCCACCTGTGGCCATCCAGTGGAGCCTTGTCCCCTGTCTCCTGTTGTCATCTTTCTTCCTTGACCCCTGTGCAGGCCCATACATTGTATACATGCTGCAGGAGATCGACATTCTGGAAGACTGGACGGCTATCAAAAAGGTAGGTCTGCTGCTGCCTGTTTACCCATCCTGCTCTGCCACCCCCACCCCTCTCTCATACACTCATGACAGCTCTGGTATCTGAGGGTATTTAGGGAGTTTTCTGCCTGCCCCTCAGCAATATCTGCCTCAGCCCTGGTACCAACTTTGTGGTAGCTTGTTTGTAGTCCTCCTAGACTGACCTGAGGAAGGAAAAGGATGTGTTCTGGTTAGCCGTTGGTCCAGACAGGTTTTTTTTTTGTTGTTTTTTTTGTTTGTTTGTTTTTTTGTTTTTTTTTTGTTTTTTTTTTTTTCTTCCCTGAGACAGGGTTTCTCTGTGTAGCTTTGGAGCCTATCCTGGCACTCGCTCTGGAGACCAGGCTGGCCTCAAACTCACAGAGATGCGCCTGCCTCTGCCTCCTGAGTGCTGGGATTAAAGGTGTGCGCTACCAACGCCCGGCCAATCCAGACAGTTTTGATGAACAAGAGAAAAGCTGCCCCTGAGAGAGCTTGGTGTAGGGAGTTTTTTATATTTCATGCAATTTGACTCAGCAGCTTTCACCCTTGGTGTAGAGGGGGCAGTGTCAACAAGTTAAAGTAGACTCTAAAGGCCCCTGTCTTCTCTACACCCAGGCCAGGGCAGCAGTGTCTCCTCAGAAGAGAAAACCAGATGGTAAGAACCAAAGAGGTGGCCCTGTCAGAATCCATAGCTTGATCTCACTTTGAGGATTTTGTGGGAGTTTGGGGAATAGGAACCAGATTGGCAAGGACTTGTAAAGGTAAAATGGAGGGCCCAGTGGTAGAGTGCTTGCCTAGCATGGGTAAGCCTCTGGTCCCAAGTTCAGCACCACAGAGAGATAAAGGTGGACTGGAGCTGGCCCGCAGCAGGGTGGGTCAGAGGGCAGGGAAAGGAAGCCCTGTGGGTGAGGGGAGTATGGTGTTTCCCCAGGGCCTCAGGCAGTGGTTGTTCTCTTTGATTCACCTTCCTTGTAGTGATTTTCCCATTGCCCCTAGGACCCTGACACTGCATTTCCACTCAGAGGGTCCTTGGAGCAGCTGGCACCACACACAGGACTAACATTTTTCTGCAAAGGCAGGGGGTTGCCTGGTAGTCCTCCAGTGTTACTGCTGTCCCCTGACCAACACTGGCCTGGGCTCCTCTGCTCTCCTTGGGATCTGCATAGCCGTGACCCTGAAGCTGACCTGGCCAAGCAAGACTCCGTTCCTGCCCCCCCCCCAAGAGTAACTTCCTTTATTGTCCCCCCAATAAAGATAGGCTTCATATGACAGCAGCAGCCCTCCCCACTGAGCCAGGAGCTGGGGAACTCTTGAGCCAGAAACATGTTGGGGTCTTGCCCCTCCTAGCTATCGCTGGAGATGGCATCTTCCCAGACTTTCTCAGGGCCATTCCTGGTGTCTGCCTCCCAGATTCTAAAGACTGGAATAAAACTCATCCTTGGACCTTGACCAGTGTGTGTCTGCTGTTCTCTTAAAAGGAATCAAGGCTTTATGGGGAACACCTGGGACAGACTCTTCTGGGGTCCCTGTTGTTCAGAACATTGTGACTTAGAAACGAGCCTGGGCCCAGAGCTGGAGTCTACACGTGGTGTGGCCCAGGCAAACAAATGAAGCACATGGCCTTGGATGAAGGCATGCCTGGAGGCCAGGTCATGTCTGCACCTGCCCCAGTCACTTGGCAGATTGGCAGGCAGGCTGGCAGGGCCTGTGTGTGGGAGGCAGCTAGCAGCAGCACCATGTGCTGACAACCTCACAGCCACACTCTCCCCTGGTTAGCATGAGTGTCAGAACCACCCCCAGAACCTCAGTTAAGCAAAGGGTTTAGTTTCCATGGAGACACAGCATCCTTTCTCCATAGCAACCTGAAATCACAAAACCCAAGTTAGGTTCAGGAATGAGTCATCTGTGACCAGTAGGGGGTGCTCTCCCACAAGGGTGACCCCCTCCAAGGCAGAAGCAGATGAGCAAGTGACCACAGACTTCTTGAGGTGACACAGGGGTGAGACTTGGGCCTGTGGGAACTTGGTCTGCCCTGTTTAACTCCTCCCTACCCAGCTGCATAGTGTGAGGTTCTATATGAGGAAACGCTGTGTGGAGGTGGTCCTCCCACAGCTGAGGCCCTAATAGTGACACTAACATAAAGGGGGCCCCTGCCATTCAAGGCTGGGCCCAGAATAGAAGTGGACACTGGCCACATGGAGTGGACATACAAGAGTTAACTGGCGGGGCGTGACAGGGTGAACCGCCTTCAGGAAGTGTTACTCACCGCTAGGAATGTGCCCGCCTGTGCCTTGGGGGTTGGATTCTCTTCCTGAGTCCCAGGAGAAGCTGAAGGAGCTCCTAGCCATGGAAGACCCTGGGGATACAGAAGCACACCCTTTGGGAACTGCCAACCTAAACTTTGTTCCTGGGCACCAACAGAAAGAAAAGTTAGTGAAGTTGGGAGGGCAACTGGGTGCAGGGGGTGAGGGCAGTGACAGGAAGGTCTGGCAAAGACAGATGGATAGGTGGGAAGCCCAGGACGGGGAAGAGGTGCTTGCCCAGACCCCTGCTCAGGTCTGCGTGTCTGCCCCCAGTCCATCTCCAGACCCTCTGTATGATACGCCTGACGCCAGCAGGGCACAGGCAGGCGGGGCCCAACAACCAGCACGCACCGTGAGTCTGCGGGAACGGCTGCTCATCACCCGGCCGGTGTGGTTACAGTTGCGGGCCAACGCTGCAGCCGCACTACACGTGTTGAGGACAGAGCCTCCAGGGGTGAGTCTTTTCCCTTCCTCCAGGACTGGCTCACCAAGGGTGGGAGAGAAAGGGCCTGGACATGGAGGCATTGAGCCTCCTAATCCTATTCACTTGCAGACCTTCCTGGTACGGAAATCTAACACTCGCCAGTGCCGGGCTCTGTGTGTGCGGCTGCCAGAAGCCAGTGGCCCCTCTTTTGTCTCCAGCCACTATATCCAAGAGAGCCCTGGTGGTGAGGGGGCTGGCCTGGCGGGAAGGGGCTGGAGACAGGCTGGGGAGGGAGGTCCCCAGAGAACAGCCTCACTCCCAGTGTCTCTCAGGCATCTCTTTGGAGGGTTCAGAGCTCGTATTCCAGGACCTGGTTCAGCTCATCTGTGCATACTGCCATACCAGGTGAGTCTGCCTACCTGCCGGGTACCTGATGACCACACGCCCTGCACCTGAATACCACTTGCTCTTGACTGCTCCTTGTTATGACCTTAGGGACATTCTTCTCCTCCCACTCCGGCTCCCCAGAGCCATTCATCAGGCAACCACCCACAAGGAGCTGGAGGCGATCTCCCATTTGGGCATGGGTAAGCGTTCCTTGCAGCCCATTGTACAGACGGAAACATAGACCAAATGGGGAAGAAAGGGCAACCAAGTTCTTTCTTTGTGGGCACCCTCCAGAGCCAGCTCTGAGGCTCCCATTGGTTTCTTTTTGCCAGAGTTCTGGAGTTCCTCCCTTAACACCAAGGTTCAGCAGAGGCCTTGTGAAGCCCCACCGATACCCAGGCTGAAGGCTCGCTCCCCTCAAGAGCTGGATCAGGGCACTGGTGCAGCCCTCTGCTTCTTCAACCCCCTCTTCCCAGGGGATCTGGGCCCCACCAAACGAGAGAAATTCAAGAGGAGTTTTAAAGTGCGTGTGTCCACAGAGACCTCCAGCCCTCTGTCTCCACCTGCTGTGCCGCCTCCCCCAGTCCCAGTGCTGCCAGGGACTTCTTCCAGCCAAACAGCAAGATTGCCTCCTCGACAGCTGCTGGAGAGGGAGAGTTCAATGGGGTATCGGGTGCCAGGGAGTGCTTCCGGCCAGAGTCTTCCTCCCCTACCTTCACTTCAGGAGGCCGACTGCTGCTCCCCCAGCAGCTCAGAGGAGGAGGGTTCTCCCCGAAGCCCTACCACCTCCCCGCGCCTGGGCCGCCCAAGGCAGCGGCCGCCTTTGCTTCGGTCCATGAGTTCTGCTTTCTGCTCTCTGCTGGCACCGGAGAGGCAGGTGGGCCGGGCAGCCACAACGCTAATGCAGAACCGATACACAGCTGTGGGTCAGCTAGTGCAGGACCTACTGACCCAGGTTCGGGCTGGTCCGGAGCCCCGGGAGTTGCAGGGCATCCGCCAGGCCCTAAGCCGGGCCCGGGCCATGCTGAGTGCAGAGCTGGGCCCTGAGAAGCTGCTACCACCGGAGAGGCTGGGTAAGGCCCCAGCCCTGGCCTCCACAGGTTCAGTTCCTGGCTCTCCACCCTCCCTCACCCACCTCTCTCCTTGCCTTGGTGCCTAATGATGGACTCCTGGTTTCCTTACACCCCACTTCCCCCCACTACTTTTGCAGTGAATTCCATGCCCCACCCCTCTCCTACCTCCTGTCTTGACCAGGGCCTCCTGCTCTTCCAGGCCCCTTCCCCCTGACTGTCTACTCTCCTCTGGCAGAACTGGTTCTGGAGAAGTCCTTGCATCGCTCTGTTCTCAAGCCTCTTCGACCTATCCTAGTTGCCCGCCTGCGGCGGCGTCTTTCCACAGATGGTTCCCTTGGCCGCCTAGCTGAGGGCTTCCACCTGGCCCGGACCCAGGGACCTGGAGCCCTCGGGTCCCCCCTGCCCCTCTCCTACCCAGTGGAGACGGAACAGGTGCGCCAGAAACTGCTTCAGTTGCTTGGCACCTATTCACCTACTGCCCAGATCAAGTGGCTCCTGCAGGCCTGCAAGTTGCTCTACACAGCCCTGAAAACCCAGGCGGGTATGACCCTCACCACCTTCCCCTGCTCCAGCTCTTTCTGAGTAGAGACTGAACCCCCTCTCTCAGGGAGAAGGTCCCAGGCCCCCAGAACTGCAAAAGGGCAGAAGGATCCAACCCTCCCGTCTCAGGGGTTCTAGAGAGAGGAGTGTCTTTCTTCCCTGTGGTTGCCATGACAGTCCGGTCCTGTCTAGGGGGTCTAGCAGGTGGTGGGAGGAGTCACTGTCTAGAACAGGGGTTAGACCCTAGCCTTTGGGCCTCTGAGGAGGCTGGAACGCCTTCCTTCCCATTTTTCCACAGGGGAGGATGCAGGCGCTGATGAGTTCCTGCCTCTGCTGAGCCTTGTCTTGGCTCAGTGCGACCTTCCTGACCTTCTGTTAGAAGCTGAGTACATGTCGGAGCTACTGGAACCTACCCTGCTCACCGGAGAGGGTGAGGGCACCCTCACTTCCTGTCCAGGTGGAACTGAGGCTTCTTAGTCGCTAGCAGGTCCTGAGCAAGTAAGGAAGGGAAGGCAGGACGCCCTACTCCAGCCTGAGCTGTACCCTGTTTCCTAGGCGGCTACTACCTGACCAGCCTGTCGGCCAGCCTGGCCTTGTTGAGTGGCCTGAGCCAGGCCCGCGCTCTCCCACTCAGCCCGGCACAGGAGCTCCAGCGCTCTCTGGCCCTCTGGGAACAGCGCCGCCTGCCGGCCACCTACAACTTCCAGGTAAGGGGCCCTTCCACATGTCTACCCCAACTGGCCGCGATCAGAGAGACTCTGACATCACCCAGCACCGTTCCTCTAGCCCTGCATCAGCCTACAATAGAAATAGAGGCCCATCTAAGTATCAGAGCAGCCCGTGTAGGGAATGTGTTTCATGCCACAGGCACTGGGCTTTGAGCTCCAGGGCAGCTCCTTGAATCTTCACAGAAACTCTGAAGTAGGGCATTGTTTGCCCCATTTTACAGATAAAGAGGTAGAAACTGAAGTGGAGCGTGAGAACTTCTTGGTCCCCAATACCAAACAAGGTTCTACCTTCCTTGTCGTCAAGCTTCCATCTATGCTCCCATTTGGGCCTTGGCCAGGGTGCACTACCTTGAACTTCAACCTTCTCAGTCTTGCTATGAGTCTAGACTTTGTAGCTATACCTTTGCCCCAGCTCTATCACTTTTTTTTCCTGTGCCTTGGTTTTCCAGTCTCTAAAATGGGCATCTGGGCTGCCATGAAGGTTAGATGCACTGGTGAATGTTGGGGTTAGCAGGAAGTAACTAGCCCCAGGAACAGTTAGAAAGAGCCCTGCACACAGTGGACCCACCTCTTCAGGATTCTGAAGTTCCCTCTGGGCTGGCCGTGCACCAACACCACTAGCCCAAACACATTTCTCTCTGCCCCAGTGTCCCCTTGGAGCTCACGGGGCTCTTGTCACCCACCCCACCCTCTTCCTGCACAGCTTCAGCCTGTCCCTTCTGCTTTGGAGGTGACCACCCAGCATAGCTGAAGGCTTGTTCTTGTCTTCTGCACAGCACCTCCTCCGAGTAGCCTACCAGGACCCCAGCACAGGCTGCACCTCCAAGACCCTGGCAGTACCCCCAGGGTCATCAATTGCCACCCTGAGCCAACTCTGTGCCACCAAGTTCCGAGTGACCCATCCTGATGCATTCGGCCTCTTCCTCTACAAGGACCAGGGCTACCATCGTCTGCCCCCTGAAGCCCTGGCCCATGGGCTTCCTGCAACTGGCTACCTCATCTACCGCCGTGCAGAGAGGCCTGAGACCCAGGGGGCTGCAACAGAGAAGGCAAAGGCAGGCAGTGAGAGGCAAGAGGCGGGAGCATGGGAGGAGGAGAAAGGGGGCGGGAATAGTGAGGGAGAGTTGGAGACAACTGTTGACCAAGGAGGAGGCGAGAATCAGGCCAGAGGAGGTCGTGTACAACCAGAGGAGCAAAAGGCAGAGGGAAGCCAGGCTGCAGAAGAGTAGCCAGAAAGAGCCAAGAGGGTCACCTGGGCCTCCAGGAGCCTCTAAATATGCTCTTCCCAGCTGCCAAGCTTCCTTCACCACCCACACCCAGTTCTCTGTTGTGTCTGCCACTGCCTCTATCTGATCTTCATGAGTCCACCTGCTAGGAAATGGGGGCTGGACACATAGACTAGGGCAAGTTAAGAGAGTTAGGAGACTCCAAGACCCTGTGTCCAAGGCCCCTGGCCTGTGTTCCTCCCTAGTCCACAGGGATAAATGTCCCTGGAAAGGAACAAAGTCATCCAATAGCCAACTCCAGCATAGGAGGAAGGGTGTTCCTGGCTTCTTTTGCCTCTCGTGCTGCCCATGGGCACAGGCAGAGTTGCTGGCATTTCAAGTCCCTGAACAATTCCAATCGCTCTTAGTTCCAGGGGCCAGGGTGGCGGCAGAATGACAGCAAAGGTCCCCAAACAGCTCTCCCCTGGTCTGCAAAGAGGGGATATGAGTACTGTTTTGCAGGGCTCCAGGAGTGATCCAGGCCCCACATGGATACTTGGTGACAAAGACTGGGCAGGTGAAAGGGAGAACAGGACAGGTGTTAGAAGCCACGTCATTCTTTAGGGCGCCTGCCCCCACCAGGCTGGTCTCATCTGTGTCTTCTTCCTCAGTCAGTTCAGAGACTGCACTGGAGATCAGGTCACAAGAGAGAAAGCACCTATGTTCCAGCCTTTTTTCAAGATCAGAAATCTAGTGAGGCACTTCAGTATTTCTGGGAAACTGGACCCTGGGAAGTAATGCCCACCAGCAGGAAGAGAAGTTTCCAGAACAGAGAGCGGTGCTCCACAAACGTTGTCTTTGTACTCCTCTTTTGGGGCTCTTGCAAAAGCTTGACCATAAGGCACAGCACAAAGCTTGTGGGCCCACTGCAGGTAATTGCCAAAATGTCTTAGCAAACTACCCCTCAAGGCCAGAGGGAAGCCAGCTGCAAATCTGAGCAGAGGAAAATGCCCACCAATAGCCACAAGAGGGCATGCACAGCCTAAGAAGCTACAGAGGGTGACACACACACCCCTCCCGGCCAGGGTGGGGAGTATGGATAATGAGAGTTTAAGAGCCATAAAGTGTAGGCAGTCACTGGCTTTATACTCTTACAGCTATTGACAGCCTGGAAAATGCAGGGCAGAGGCCACTTGCAGTCAGAGATTCTTAGGGAAGAATTGTTTCCAGTATCAGAGGCACTCTCCTGGGCCTCAGCACAAGGACACCAGCTCACATGCCATGCACGATTACCAGGAGGTAGAAGTGTGGACCCTGACTTTCAGACCCACATCTAGCCAGTGTAGGTCTCCAAAGTAGTCACTAGGCCACCAATGTTCCTTCTTACCCACTTGCATGCCCCTCTCTCGTAGGGGAGAGTGTATGAGAAGGGGCAAGCCCATCTGGTATCTAATATCGAGCAGAGGGAGAAGATGGTCCCAGCTCCTTTTGCCTCTCTACCACCCAGAGGCATAGACAGGGTTTCTGGGACTTCACGGCCCTGAACAACATGGCCCTCTATTCCATGATATGCCCTCCCTCCCTGCAATGCTTTGTACAGGACAGAGCACTCCACAGGGGCTCAATAAATGGTGTCCAATGACTGAAGCTTGATAACCAGCAGTAAGGGACTGGGGTGGGGTGGGGTAGGAAAGCTGTTTCTGGGAATGAGACACAGGGGGTGTGGCGTGCAGTCCCAGGGTAAGGACCTGGAATGTCTGAAAAGGATGCTCAGAGAACCCCGCAGGCAGGATACGGAGCTGGTCTCATGGGAACCAAGACTCTGGGACCTCCATAGGCCCTGCCTTTTGTGCTCAGTTCTAATTCTGGGCTTTTAGAGTTCAGTGCAGATCCAGCTATGGCTTAAAAAAGCACTTCTGGGTCCTGCCTGCTGTCTGAATTTTTTTTTTTTTAAAAAAAATCTGATTACCTACCAATCCAGGCCAAGTCAGTACGAGTACAAGAAGCACTTCTGGGTCCTGCCTGCTGTCTGAATTTTTTTTTAAAAAAAAAAATCTGATTACCTACCAATCCAGGCCAAGTCAGTACGAGTACAATTTGGGATCAATGGAAGACTAACCAGGCAGAGTTGGTAGTAATACAACAGTCTGAGACTAGTGTGTCCATCTTATTTTTCTCCTCCCAATGTCTCCATTTTATAAACAAGGAACCTGAGGCCTTCTTCAGGAAAGTGGCTTGTTACAGACAGAAAACTCAACATATACCTTCCAGAGAGAAGGAATCATTTAATCATACTCTCAACAATCAAAGCCAGGCAATCGGAACACACATCTGTAATCCCAGTACTTGGGGAGCTAAACAGGAGAATGAGGAGTTAAGGGTTATCCTTGGTTACCTAGTGAAAGCCAGCAAGACCCCATCTTAAAAAAGGGGGGGTGAGTGGATTTTGTGGTATAGAGACAGTTCTAGGTGCTGTGATCTAGGGGTAACTGTGAACCACTGCATTCCAGGGAACTCTACCAATGTCCTAGAGGTCAAGGCTCTGAGATGTGCTGTCCCTTGTCCAGTGACCACTGCTGCAGTGCAGGATGGGGACACTGGTTGGGTGTCTTGAAAGCAGACATGTCACTTCCTTGCTTGGCAATGTTGTATTTGCCATTTTAAAGTCAGGGCGTCGGTTTGTGTGTGTGTGTTTATTATCTGTCTTCCCAGTGGCATGACAGAGCCATACTGGCCTTCTTCCCAGCAGGCCTTCAAGGACCTAGAACAATGCCTGGGCCGGAATTGGCACTTGTAAAAATATATGTGGAATAATGCAGAATGGTGGATCTGGGAAGTCTTCATCCAAACCCGTCCTGTCTGTTCCAGGGGTGGTACATCCTCTATCACTTCTACCAAGGGATATGCATGCCTCATTTCAGCTCCACACTAGGGGCTCTTCTCCCCTGGTGCTATCCCAAGGAATAATGAATACCCTACTGGAGGTAGAAGACCACTTTGAAAGGGGGTCAGGAGTGGAGTGAGGAAAGGGCTGCCTGAGTCAGATTCTAGGGCCCAGCAGGGCCAGAAACAGGGAGGGGCCTATGGGATGGTCCAAGGGGTGGAGTGAATGGCAGTCATTGAGACTCAATCTGACCCACCCTCCTTAGCATCCTACTGTGGCCTTATGACCAGTGTTCACATTTACAGTTTAGAGCATAGTGACTCTCTGACCCACATTCCAATGCAAAGTGACACTGCTCTCCCAGTGGGTACTACAGTGCCAGGCACCCCCAAGGATAACATGCACACCCGGGCACCACTATGACATACATGGGGACTGTGGACCCAGGCCTGTAATGACACAGACTTCCTGACTCAGGCCTACCAATGCAAGAGTGCCAACAACACTCACATCTTTAATACAGTTACATCCATGTTCTGGATGAATGTAATATCACAGCTTCTACTTACTATTCTGTCTAATCCCTGGAAATGAACCCCCCAACACACACACACCACACCACACCACACCATACTTTGGAACATGAACAGAAGGTCCAACCCCAATCTCCTAATATCTGGCTTAACCCAGCCTCCCTCCCCCACCCAGCTCCCTGTGGGCCCCCTGAGGAAACTGAACTGCTGAGAAGACCCCTGCAAGGGTGTGGTGACCTCACGGGCTAGGCAAGAGCTGAGGCAGGCAGGCTGGGCGGGGCAGCCTGAGCTCATCAGATTCCAGCCTGATTCACAGGAGGAGCTAAAGGATGGAGGATGGGGACCGGCACTGGCCCAGGAGCTGGGGCTCTAGGGGCCTGAGTGGGCTTTGGATCCAAGTGTCATGGTGGTGGCCCTTCCTGAAGGGTACCCCCTGGGTGAGACTTAGGCCTCTTTGCTGAGCTGTAGGATGAGACAATCAGCCCAGCCTTCCAGGCTGGGAAACACCCCTCCACCCCCACCCCTGTAACCTTCCCTGGCCTTAGCAGCTGGATGTCTTTAGCTGAGGAGGTGACCTTCACAGTCCATCTTGGATCCTCCAGGCTCAGGCTGGCAGTCTATTGGTGGACTCTTAAAGGTCGGGAAAAGCTAGAGTTGTCTGGTCCCATTGCATGGGGCTGACAGGGTTACAGACCCACGCTGCCCTGCCAGGCGAAGCCTCTGCCAGAAGGAGAGAATGCATGGGCTGCCCCAGTGCCTCGGATGTTTTCTTGCTGAGACTGAGGCCCTTGCTCCTACCATCCCCAGAAATCCTTGTGTTCCCAGCTGAGGGATGCTTACAGGAGGTGGGGGGACCAAGCTGCCCAGACCTAGCTGCAGGGTGACAGGAAGAAAGGATGGGGGCAGGGTGAGGGTGAGGGTACAGGAAGTGCCTTTCTTGGAACTCTGCACCAAAATAGCCCATTCCATCTCTACTCTGGGTCTGGTGTCCCACGGGGGAGGTGTGTGTCACCAAGGAGACCCTCACTGGGGAGGAGCATGAACTGACCTCAGTCTGGCTTTTGCTTGCCAGTCCCCTCCACCCCCACCGCAGCCTGGGTTCCACTTTGAAGTCCCAAAGTAAATATCATGTCTGCTCGGGTTCTCCTTCCTGGCCTGGTCACAGACCCCAGACCTGGCTTCCACCCCAGCCAGCCCCCAGGATACAGTGCAGGGAGAGAGGAGGGAGGCTAGACCACCCAGGGATGGTGGCAGGATAGAGACACTGCTAAATAGATGGGGAATGATGGGAGATGTAGAGCAGAGATGCAGAAGGAAGCTGAAAGCAAAGAGACAGACCCCAGACCAACATGGGGACACTTCTTCGGGCAGGAGACCCCTGAAGGAGAAATGGAGACCCAGAAACAGAGGAAAAAGAGATGAATTAGACAGGACAGATAGAGGCAGGGATCCTGGGGGATGGTGAGGGCCAGGAAGAAGAAGAGTTGGACAAAGAAGGAAAAGAGCCTCTGGAGCAAGTTCCAGAGCACGGGTGTGGCAGAGATCAGAAAGACAGGGACTAGGGTAGCTGGGAAAGGATGTGGCACAAAGAAATAGTCCCTGTGACAGTGGGATCAATCACCTTGTTTACCCAGGCCTTGGGTATGTGTGGTTGGAGTGAGATCCTAGTAGTGGGGACTGAAGTTAGAAAAGTCCTCAGCAAACTGGGCCAAGCTGATCCTCCCTTTGAGCAGAGAGCCTACACCCACAGGTGCCCTTACACAGGCTTCAGAAGGGTTTGCCTGCACAACTCAGGCAGGGCTGGCCCTTCTAGCCAAGACACAGGTTCCAGGATTCCTTTTCTTGAGAGAAGATGTGGCCAGATGTTCGGGTCAGACATCTGCTAGGAGAGAGAACTGGACTCCCAGCTGGACCCAGATTGCATATTCCAAGGAGCCATTTACTTCACTCTCAGCTGTGGGCACAGGTGTAAATTTGCTGGGACACCCAGCTGTGCACATGTATAGCCATGTCAAGGCTGTGCAAATACATGTGTGTGCACATGCCCGTGCATGCAAACACGTTGTTCTGTAACCGCATGCACGCAAGCCCCCACTCTACCCTCAGCTACCCCCAGCTGTCAGAATTCTTTGGCTTCAGGGATGCTGAGGAGGGCCAACACCCCTTCTTCCCAGTTTGAGTTCTCTAAACCTCTGTCTCCCACCCATCCTGTCCCTAGCAGCATGACCCCCTCCCTGCAGGGCTCTCTTGCCAGAAGCACAAAGGGTGTGGCCCCCATAGTGGGAAGGAGAGGAGGTCGAAAATGTACCATTCCCTTCTCCACTGCTGCCCAGGGAAATCCTCTCCCACCCACCCATCTTGGCTCCCACCCAAAACTGGGTGCCTCCCACCCTGTTTCAGCCCTTCCTCCTGAGGCCTGAGAGCTGGGGTGGTTTGAGATGAGTTTAGACAGGGACTGAGGTGGGGGGTAGGGACGGAGAGAGAGAAGGGAAGGAGGTGATTTGTACACACAGCAATGTGCTGGCTCAGCAGGCCAGCATGCCAAGGCTCTTCAGGATGCCTGCGGGGGGGGGGTGCCCCCAATCTCACCCGATCCCCCCACCCAGCCATTCCTTGGGGCCCCTCTCTGGGCCAGCCATTCTTTAGGCCACCTTACCCCTTCCCCTCTGAGCCTACACACTGCATCCCAAACCATCCCCCTTTTGCGTTTCCTGGAAAAGTGTTCCTGAGACTGTGGGCTTCTGTTTCCATGGCCCTCTTAGGCAGAGCCACTCCCATGTGGACCACTATCACAACAGGGAGACCCAGCCTCCTTGCACCCACTGTGAACAGAATTTGAGATGGTACACCCTGCTACCTACCCGCCCCCGGGCCAGCCGGGAAGATACACTGGCCTCAGGCCCCAGCAGAACACAGTTGTGTGGGGACTTACCCCAGTTGTTTCCTTGCAGTGGTAACCAAGCTGTCCCTGTCTTGGACTGTCTTCCTGCACAGATGCAGAGATCCATTCTCAGCATGCCACTCATGAGGGTGACTGGAAGTGACAACTCAGGCAGCCTTTTTTATATCCTGTATATATATATCCTTCGTTTATATACTGTATCTACCCATGCATCTAAATATAAGCCAGGTGGTGAATGCCTATAATCCCAGCACTTGGTGGTAAAGGCAGAAAGATACAAAATTCAAGGTCATCCTTGGCTATATAGTAAGTTTGAAACTAGCTTGGGGTACATGAGACTTTTTCTAAAAAAAAAAAAAATCCACATATACACCTACCTGCCTATCCACTTACCATATATACATTGATATATACATACATACATGCATTGGTCTATCCATCATCCACCCAGCTCCTTCCTCCCAGCCTTGCTTCCATGCATTCATTCATACGGCTGTGTGTCAACCCATGTACCTACCATCTGTGTGCCCACCCATGTACACAGCCATGCATCACTCACCCGTGTGTATGTCTGTCCATCATCTGCCTGTGTATCCACTCAGCGTCCCATCTCTCCATCATTCACCTATACACCCGCTCACATATCCACCCACCCAAGCTTTACTCATTGGTCACATCAGTTAGCATCTTCTCTCCACTATGAGTGAACCAATATGAATCGCACTGAACCAGAACAGCAGGAGAAGAAAACTCAAGCCAGCCCCTCTCTAGTTCCTGATCTCCAGAACCTTGGTGCTATGTTCATTGTATTCCCCATTTGAACTAGGAAAGAAAGTTCTTAGGCAACCTCCACCCCACTTCTCCCAACCTCGGGGAGGGCTGGATACCCAACCTGGACACCTAAGTATGTCTCTAACTCTTATTTTTGATCCTTTATGTTTGTTGAAGCTAGAGGTGTTCCCTCGTCTGCTTCTCAGCCCCTTAGCATGGTTTGGCTTCCCTCCACTTGGAGTAGGCCTAGCTAATACATCTGGAAGTTGGCCTTTGACCCTCTTCCTTCTACTTCCTTTGCCTGCTCCCCCAACCCTTCACCCCTCTGAAACTGGGGTCCTGACCTCTGATCTGACCCACCCACTTGCCAGACATCCTAGAACCTCTTCTCAGACGCCCAGCACTGGCCATTGCCCGAAGCATGACTGGGCTCACCACACCCTTGGACCAAGCTCAGAACCGCCCCCAAGGAACCTCCAGAGGCTGCCTCCCCCAGCCCGGCCCGCCCTGAAGCCCAGCTCTTTAGCCAGATCCCTTCCCTTTCCCAGATGATTGCAACAGTCTCCTAACTGGTCCCTGGCCTTGGGTCCCCTCCACCCACCACCCACCAACCACGGAGTTCCCTTGCCATGACTCTTCCTATGGCATCCACAGTGGAGCTCCAGCCTCCAAGCCAGGCCTCTCCTCCTTGCCTGATATTCTCTCTCTGCTCAGTCTCCTCTCTGGGCCAGGTAAGGAAGTCCTTTGCCTCATCCAAACCTGTCTGAGCTCTGACCCCAGAGCTTAGGCTTCTTCCCAGGCCATCTTCCTGGAATACCTCTGCTCAGAAAGTACCACAGTGCTGCAGCTGGGAAACAGAGTGAGAAGCCGGAGCCCTGGGTTCTAGTGTGAGCACTGCCACTAACTCCCTCTAAGACTCTCAAAGCCTCGGTTTCCCCACCTACAAGAAGACAAGTACACCACCAGGAATGCCCTACTTCAAAAGAATAGCTAGCAATAAGGACAGCGTGCAGGCTTCGATGCCAGGCAAATCCCAGCTTTCCAATGGCATCTTCAGGAACCAGATTCTTAAATTCTCTGTGTTCCTTCAGTCATTCAGCAAGTCCCCACCACCACCTTTTCATTTTTTATTTCTTTGAGACAGGGTTTCCTTTCTTTCTTTCTTTCTTTCTTTCTTTCTTTTTTCCTTCCTTCCTTCCTTCCTTCCTTGCTTCCTTCCTTTTTTTTCTTTTTCCAAGACAGGATTTCTCTGTGTTTTCCTGGCTGTCCTGGAACTCTCTCTCTGTAGACTAGGCTGTCTTTGAACTCAGAGATCCACCTGCCTCTGCCAATGGAGTGCTGGGATTAAAGGCCTGCACCCACCTTAAATTTCTAATCCTCTGCTTCCACCTCTGAAGCAATTTCAGGCATGTATTACCACCCCTAGTAACAAATTCTCACTAAGCAGAGTCTCTGGGCCTGGAACTTTCCAGGCTCTTCGGCACACCAGGGAATACTATGAGTCTGCTGTCATGGAGCTCATAGTCTCCCAGGACAGAGGTTCTCCACTGGGCACGTAATATTTGGCAATATCTGGAGATCTGTATTTTGTCATCCCATCTGGAAGGATGCTATTCACATTTGGGGTCTAAGCCAGCACAGAATAAACCACTCATAACTACTATCTAGCCCTAAGTATCATAATGCCAGTCACAGGTGAGGGATTCTGGCTGGGATTCAGGTCATAAGAGAGTTAACAATGAAGGACATACCATGACAGAAAGTGATTAGTGAGGCCAGAGAGAAAGAGGAGTTGTGTAGAGTTTGGGCCATGGACTCTGCTGACTCAACTGAGTCCTGAGAAAGTGAATGCAGAGTTTTTAGATGTTGCAGGGATATGCTCCAGGCAGGGGAGAATGTGGAATCAAAGGTCCTGAGCTCAATGTAGCTAGTGCCTGGTGGTCTAAGACCAGCACAGACAAGAATAGAGTGGCTAGAACCAACAGAGGGACCAAGGGAATAAGAGGGACAGGGTGGACTGAGCAGTTTGGAGACAGATCACATGGCAGGGACTTTGGCTACTTCTGAGTGCTGAGTGAGACATGGGCCCTGGAGGGTTGTGAGCAGAGGACTGGCTGTGTCTGGCCAAGGGTGTGTGTGTGTGTGCAAGATTGTTTTATTTATTTTATGCATACTAGTGTTTCGCCTGCATACACTATATACACTACACAACTTGTGTTACATGTGTGCCTAGGTGTGGAAGAGGTCAAAAGAGGGCATCAGATTCCCTGGAACTGGAGTTACCGATGGTTGTGAGCCTCCATGTAGGTATGGGAACCAAGCTCTGGCCCTTTGCAAGAGCAACAAGTACTCTTAACCACTGAATCACTTCTCCAACCCTCTTTTTAAAGGTTATCCTCAGAAGGGGAGAAAGGAGGGGAGAAAAGGAGGAGGAGGAAGGAGAGGGGGAGAGAGAGAAGGGCAGAGAAGGAGAGAGAATTGCAAGGCTCTAGACAGGAGATGAAGAAAAGAGACCGGGTGGATGGGAAGGGAAAGGTGGTGCTGGGAAGTGGTCACACTCTTGATCCAGTTCTGAAAATGACGCTAACGGGGTTTGCTGAGATCCTGGACAAGGGGTGTGGGAGAAAGAGGAGTGAAGGATGAGCTCAAGGTTTGGCTCCTGCACCAATGGAAGGATGGACTTTGCTCTCCTGAGAAGGGGCGTAACCCTGCATGCTTAGAGCATAAGACTTCCGAGCATAAGGAGAGAGAGTTGTATAAACAGTGGTTCTCACAGACTGGCTGTATCTGCGGGTCCAACTTGGGCACTATGAGGTAGTTAGTGAAAGCAGCTTTGGTCCCTACTGGCATCTAGATTTGCTTAGAAGACTACTGAACATTTGTCTTGTACTCTGCAGTTGACAAAACACATTTACAAATAGGGAGTGTGTGATACAATGGTCCTGCTGAACTGAGAGCCCTGGACACATTCATCCCCATACTGTAGATGGGAAAAATGGAAGCCAGGCATGGTGGCCCACACCTGTAATCCTGGCACGGCTGTACAACGAGACCCTGAACCTGAAAAGGGAAGAGAGGGAAGGAAAAGAAAGGAAGAGAAGAGAAAGAGAAGGGGAAAAAGAAAGGAAAGTGAAATAAACAAAGGAGGGGAGAAAGAGCCTGTATGGTGTTACACATTAAACCCAGCAGAGGCAGATGGATCTCAGTGAGTTCCAGGCCAGCCAGAGCTACATAGTGAGAACAAGTCTTAAAAACAAACAAACAAACAAATGGGGGCTGGGTGAGGTGTGGCAATGAAGGTTCGGAGACAGCCTCAAACACATGGCATGTGAACCAAAGGACAAAGCTTCTCTCTCACTTTCTCATCCATGCCTCAAAAAGTTCTTAGTGCTAAGAATCCAACCCAGGACCAGGAATCACTCTGCCACTAAGACACACACACACACACACACACACACACACACACACACACTCTGCCACAAAAACACACACACACCTCTCCTCCCCACTGGCTCAAAAATCTGCTGAAAATATAAAGCATGATGTGTTAACACCAGGCATGAGGAGACAGGCAGAGCAGGAGTTCAAGGTCATCCTTGATGACACGGTGAGTTCCAGTTCAGCCTAGGCTACGTAAGACCTTGCCTCAAAATCAAGAACAAGGGGTTAGAAAGATGGCTCAGAAGCTAAGAGTTGCTCTTGCACAGGACCCAGGTTTGGTTCCCAGCACTCACATGGTGGTTTACAACTACCTGTAACTCCAGTTCCAGGGAATTTGATGCCCTCTTCTCATTTCTGAGGGTACTAGGCTTATACATGGTATACATGCATACATGCAGCAAAACATCCATAATCAGAAAATAAAACTCAAAATATCAAAATAAAGAAACAAGAGCATAAAAGGATTACTTGGTGTTGGGTGACCATAGTACCAGTTACTCAGAACCCAGGAGTTTGGGGACAGCCTTGGCAACATAGCAAAATCCATCTCTTAAAAAAATAATTAATAAGCCAGGTGGTGGTGGCACACACCTTTGATGATGCCAACACTTGGGGGGCAGAGGCAGGAGGATCTCTGTGAGTTTGAGGGCAGCCTGGTCTTCAAAGAGAGTTCCAGGACAGTCTCCAAACCTACAGAGAAACCCTGTCTTGAAAAACCAAAAATAAATAAATAAATAGCCAGGCGGTAGTGGTGCACACCTTTAATCCCAGCATTTGGAAGGCAGAGGTAGGGCCAGGATCTCCGTGATCAAGGGCAGCCTGATCTGCAGAGCAAGTCCAGGACTTCCAGGTCTACACAGAGGAATCCTGTCTCTAAAAACAAAAAATTAATAATAATAATAAAATAATAATAGTAAATAGAAAATTCGGGGGTTAATCCTTCAGACAGATTCCCAGGGGCCATCCTGGGTGCCTTGCCCATTGTACAAACCTCCAGAGGCTTCCAGGAAGGATGGGAAGAGGACCCTGGCCAGGCTATTCAGTAAGCCCTGGGCGTAGGGAGGGCAGTGTGATGCCTGTGTGGTCGCTCATGCCTATCCCATTGTGTACCCCATGCCCATACATGGCCTTGCACAGGTCCTGTCATAAGCAGCCCTGCTCACCCTGCCTATAGCCCAGCCTCCATTCAGCCCAGAATCTTGCACCCTGCCCTCCTGCAGCAGGAGCCCAGCGAGGCATTTCCTGTTTGCGGGCTGCCTCCTCCCCCTCTAAGTCCAGGTTCCCAGGGCCTCTGACTGAGCTAGGGTAAGGGGAGGGCAGCCCTTGGCCTCCTCCCCATTCCCTAACCCCCAGGGTTAATCCTGCTGGAGCCAGAAAACTTGGGAGTGAGATAGGCTGGGCAAAGGTGCTCATCAAATCCTTGTCTGGTTGAGGTTGTCCACATGGGGGTTATCAAGTTGATTCTCATCTAGGGCCTGGCAGGAATGGGAGGAGATTCATAGGTTAGACCGTTTAGCATGCCAAATCATTCTTGCCTGTCCACCTAAGGGCATAGCATGTCAGGAGGACTTCATGTGTGAGGCTGGGGTTTGGCCGCCTGAGATAGGGTGTCAGAGTTGTCAGGAGTTGGAAGAGGAGCCTGCACTCATACATGTGATGGGAACGGGCTGGCCCGAGCATGTCGTTGAACTGAGAGTGCAGTCACATACTGATTCTGTGAATCCAGATCCCATCTTCACGAGTGTCTCGGGAAGACAACTTCACCCTAGCTGCCTTAGCTGCAGACCCTGCTGCAGTTAGTTTCAGAGGGTTGACTAGGGAAGCCTCTCAGGCAGGCAGTTCCGTTTTTCCCGGACTCTCAGCTCTGTAAGGCCTGAGGTAGCCCGTCAGTTAACTGCACCTCCTCCCCTCCTCTGCCCTTCGCCTCTCACCCCAGAACCCCCCACCCCACTGCTTCCTGCTCCAACAGCCCCCGGGGAGCTGGCAGGGGAGCTGGCAGCCGGCCCACCCCCCCCCCTCCCC